TTAACTAAACGATTACCTAACTACATGATGACTTCGATAGACTTAAGATCATCTAGATTAAATTGCTTATATACCAAAGTAGGCAATAGATTTACACTTGCCCCTAAGTTAAGGAGTGCTCTCTCAATAGTGATGTTACCTATCACACAAGAAATAATAGGAGCACTAGGATCTTTTAACTTTAGGGGAAGGCGGTTTGAAATAATTGCACTTACATTTATCAGTAAATGGACAGTCTTAAGTGTGTGAGACTTAATTCGCCTCTTTATGGGCACAAGTCTTTTAGGAACTTAGCATAGATAGGAATTTGTTTAATGGCTTCTAACAATTGGATGTTAATTTGCACTTGTTTGAATAGCTCAACCATTTCCTCCATCTTAGCATTTTTCTAAGAATTGGGTACATTGCGAGACTCTAAACACCGAGGAAATGGTGCTCTAGGAATATAAGATGTAGGAGATGGTTATTTCTTCCAATTTTCTCCTTACTTGGTTTATGCACAATTGACTCTAAGGTTGGTTCTCTCTCACCCTCTCGGTTTTGTTCCTATCTAAATTCTTGTTCTTTCCAACCTTGACATCCTTAGAGTTCAATTTTTGTTGTTCAACGTACGCGGGGTGTAGTTCCTTGACGATTCCTATTGAAATTGAACTAACAAATATGCAATACATGACGTCTTTGACTAGCTCTCGATCGCTCTTTAGAGTCATCACAACATCAACATGCAATTAGTTCAATTTCAATAGGAATCGTCAAAGAACATCAACAATCCAAACACGTCATGTATCAAAATCATGTTAAAGTATTGAAATCACACTGAAATAAAAAAAAAACATAATTCCAACACAACACGCAATGCAAATAATTAGTCCAATATCAATTTCAATCAAGCTAGCCAAGAAATGCAATAAAAAGGAGTTGTGGACGTCAACTGTGAATGAGCAATCGGGAGCTCAGCCGCTCATGGTGGTGGCTGGAAAGACAAAAAATGGGTTGCTCATAGTGGAAATCGAGTGAGCAATAGCTAAAGAGGGTGGTTTGTGGCTGAGGAAGACCAAGGGATGATGAGGAAGATGAACAGCCATGATGGTGGTAGCATCCACCAGCAAGTGATGAAATACGGATCCAAGGGAGATAGATCAGGTGTTGGGGAGTCCAATCATTGTCGAATCATGGTTGGAAGTCGAACGGTCATAGGTGGCACTTGTGATGAAACAACGACGGATCTTCATAAATGATAGCAAGGAAGATTGGGCAAGGGAAAACTGGCAACTATGGAGGCCAATCGACATTAAGGAAGAGCAAAAGTCACCAAAAAAAGGATGAAACGCCGTTGGAAATCGAAACATCACCGATGGTGAGGAATACAAAGCATCACAATGGTGAGAAGTGATGGATGATGACGACTGATGATGGGGGAAGGTGAAATGGAAGGCCATCAATGGTGGAGCTAGGATTTGGGGTGAGCGGCGACTGCTTTTGCATGACCTCTTACCGTCATTTTATAGTGAGGATGACATATATGAATTCGGTCCCTACATGAATATAAAATGACAAAAGCGACCCCAAATGTAAATGACAATTTGACCCCTGAATAGCATGAAAGAGACAACATCAACCCTAATCAATAAATCACACCCTAATATCAACTTACACCATCTCAAAATTCATTCCAAACATGCAACATTTGTAAGAAAAATTTAGAATTTGATTTTCATGAATAATTTCATAAATTCTTAAATTGTCTCAATATAATTTCAATTAAATTACAAATGGGGTATTTTTATCACCTAAATAGAGTCATTTTGATGAATCTAACATATACATTTGTAGACGTAAAGATCTACCTGTACGGAAGGGGGGACTGATCCCGTGAGGTTGAGGCCACTAGCGATCTGCTGCACCTGCACACGTAGAGAAACAAATGCGTGAAGCGAACGGGAAACACCAGGGTGGTGTTGGCCGTAGGCACTCCGACGCTCAAGTCAGCAAGGCTAAAAGAGGATAGTATAGTAAGGGCTAGGGAGTAGAGAGGTTACCGAAAGTCTAGTCGAGGACTGTGACTACGACAGTAATGTGAAGCTCTCAAGTAAGAGCTTCGGGTGTGAAGGTGTAATGTAATGTATCCTTTGTGAGAGGGCTAGCCTCTGCTTATATAGTGACTATCTGGTCTCCCAATCCTGATGGGAGTAGAAGTTCTAATGTGACTTTGATGCAAACCCTAGAAGAATTACGGCTATGGTAGGTTGTCTTACCAGTGTCCGGATAGGAAGGTGATTCTGATCAGGAAAATAACTTCGAGTAGGAAAGTGTTCTGAACAGGAAAATGACTTTGAATAGGAGTTTGATTAGGAACAAGGATGTGATCAATGGGGGCTGTGGGCTCTGAACCCGTCTATAGGCCCATGAAGTGAGCTGGAACTGGGAGGCCCGTGCCCAGATGGTTTGGAGAAGCCATATCTCGTATCAAATGGGACCAATTTGGCTTGGGCCTCTTTGGGATTGGGCCTGGTCTTTTTCTCCTGGTGGTCCTGTTTTCCTATTTGGGCCAAGGACGATTTTTGGCCCTAACAACGTTTTCAATAGACATTAGAAATACAAACATATCATGCATCATAATCATATTAAAGCATTGCAATCAAACTGAAACGAAAACAAATACAATCTAAATACAAAACACTTTACCAACTGTCCACTGTTTGAATTCAATCCAACCAGTCAAGAGATGTTGTGAAGAAAAACTGTGGTCGTCGATCTTGGTCTGGCCTTCACTGTAACAGGCAACTGGAAGCTCAACTGCTTATGGTGGTGTTGATGGTGGCTAGAAAAGATGAGAAAGTCGTCATGGTGAAGAATGAGTCATTGGCAACTGTAAAGGGTGATTTGTGGCTGAGGAAGACCAAAGGATGTTGAGGAAGATGAACAATTGTTGGGAAGACAAATACTCGCGACAGATTCTGATAAGATAATGGTAAATAGGCTTGCGAGAAGGTAGATCGGAGTTGGGGGAAGTCGAATCGGTAGTTAGTGAGGTGGATTATCATCAAAAAATGAAGGAAACACATTGGAAGATGAAACATCGCCGATGGTGTGAAGATGAACGTCGCAACGACAAAACGACAATGGAAGATGTCGGCTGGTAGCTCTCGATGATGAGATGAAGAAATCAACAGTTGGGGAGTCCAACCGTCACTGGAGTTTGCCAGATAATGGAGATGAAGGTCTAGGGTTTGGGTGAGCGGTAACTTTTGGCGAGATGATGACAACTCTTCATGAAACGGCGACGAGGGAGCTCAGGTTAAGGTGAAACTATCAACTGGCATGAGAAGATAAAGAGCCGATTGGCTAGTCGGTGGCAACTTAGGGTTTTGTAGTCTACAATTGCCATTTACGCGACCTTTGGCTTTCCTCTTATAGCAAATCTGGAAAACATCAGTTCGCTTCCTACACACATAAAAAGTGACAAAATCAACCCCAAACGTAAATATCAATTTGACCTTGAACAACACAAAAGAGACAAAATCAACCCTGATTAGTAAATCACACCCTAATATCAACTTACTTAATCCCAAATTTCAGTCCAAGCATGCAAAATTGTAAGAAAAATTTAGAATGTGATTTTCATGAATAATTTCACAAGTTCCTTTATTGTCTCAAAATAATCTAATTTTAAGTACAAATGGAGTATTTTAATCACTTTAGTAGAGTCATTTTCATGACTTTAGCACTTATCTCCTTATCACCCTTCAAATAAGCTTTCATTTTAGTGTTTCACTTTTTTTTTTTTTTTCTTTTTTTCCTTCTAAAGTTCCAAATAAAATTTTCTATCTTCAATATTTTTCTCTCAATATATATCGTATAAACTACACCAACAAAATATTATTACTCACCATACATGTATTTGTTTAAATATATAAGAGTCTTCGACTTTTTTACAATATGCTTTTTACAAAACTATTAGAAAATAATAATGTTTTGTTTACAACTGAGTTATATAAACAGACAAAAATTGCATAAAAATTATATAAAATAACTATTATATCCTTTGTTTTTTATCTATTTGTATAATTAAGTTGTATGACTCCGTTGCAAGCATAAAATTGCTCATTAGAAAATAATCGAACTTGAAAACTCTTCCTTAAAGCCATTTAACATTAAAATGTTTAAAGTTTTCGTATATTCAAAAGTTCTAAAAAAGAGAAGAAGAAGAAGAAAAAAAAGAGAAGCTATCAAGTATTTCCTAAAAAAAAAAGCTATCAAGTATTTTCAAAGCGAAGTCATCTTTTTTTTTTTTTTTTTCCTCTCTCTCTCTCTTCTTTTTATTTTTTATATACTAGAGATTTCTTTTAGATTTTGTTAAATAAACTTTTTGTTTTGTTTTTTTTTTCTTATTCTAAATTTAGTCAATTTGGCTCGAAACACCCAATAAATTTCTTAGAATTGCTTAAAGTCTTGGTCGGCATTAATAATTTGAGCTACGCAACGTGGACAAGAAAACTCGAGAAGTGTTTACAAGTCTGAGTCTCGGTCAACCAATACTTAAATGACAAAAACGAGAGAAGGATCATGCATGCTACATATATTACTCTGTTCTATAAAGTAATTAATATAATAATCATAGGAAGTAGATTTAAAAAAAATTTGAGAGAAGGATCATGCATGCTGCATATATTAATTAATTTTTCAAGTCTTGTCAAAATATTTCAATTAAGTTTACATTGACAAGTGATCTTCATCATATATATTTATATGCGAGTGTCACCTAAGAAGAGTAAAATTTGCATCATTTGACGTGAAGAATTTGATTAAACATTCGAGAATTGTAGTATCAATCACAAATAATAGTCTTTCCTATGCAGTATTGAACAAAGAACAACTTTAAATACTAAGCACAATTTTATTATTGATTTAAATGATCTTAAGATTTAATAGTGCATGTACGCAAGATACATACGCATTAAAGACTGAACTCTGAAATGAAAATGCTCAGAAACTAATGATTAATGATCTTGAAACACTTGAAATTAGCATTATTGTCACCGAGGCGAAACACTTGAAAGAGTTACCTCATTAGTGGAGGAAACTTTAATATCTGATGAAGATTGAGCTAAATTCACAAATCTACCAACAGAAAATGCAGGTTCAGTTGGTTTAGGAAGTGTAATTGTGTCACTACCCAACATAACTACTACAGATGACATGGTAGGCCTGTCTACTGGATCTTCTTGAACACACAACAATCCAATATGTATATATTTTAATAGTTCAACTGGAACACAAGATTGCGCCAAAACTGGATCCATCAGCTCTAATGCATGTTCTCCGCACCATAGTTTCCATGCCTGAAATATTATTCATGTTATAAACTGTTAACTAAGATTATTGGTGTATAATTCGTTTAAGCTAGATCATTGTTCAAATTAAAGATTGAGATAGGGATATACATAATTAAGGAGGCTTTGACCATGTTCCGAAAGATAAAATCCACTATTCTTTTTCCCGCTTACAATCTCAAGTAGAAGAACTCCAAAACTAAAAACATCAGACTTAACTGAAAATAATCCTTCCATAGCATACTCTGGAGCCATATACCCACTGTTACAAATTGGAACAACAAAATAATTATGATTTAATCCAACAAAAAAATCAATGACATTTACATATTAAAACTTTTTTACAAAAACAAAAATTTCTCATACTGTCTAGATTTACTTTAAAAAAATTATTAGATAATTATATTTAAAATTTGGATCATCTTCTTATCTGAACTCATCCAAGAAAGTAAGACAATTATTCTAAGTCTGAAGCATTTTCTAGCAAAGAAAGGAAGCAAATAAAGATAGGAAATTATTAATGCACTTACTATGTGCCAACAACTCTGTTGGTATTAGCTTCATTTTGATTTCCACCAAATATTCTAGCCATTCCAAAGTCTGATATTCTAGGATTCATCTCAGAATCTAATAAAACATTACTAGCTTTGAGATCTCGATGAATAACTCTAAGTCGAGAATCCTCGTGCAAATACAATAAACCTCGTGCAATGCCATTAATGATACTTCCACGCCTTTTCCAATCCAGTTCTGAGCTCCTAGCCGAATCTGAAAATAAAATATAAATGTCGCACATGGCTTCCCATCAAACAGTTATAGCTAGCATTAGAAATTTTGAGATACGAACCAAAGAGGAGGAAATCAAGGCTTTTGTTGGGCATATATTCATAGATGAGCATCGACTCATTCCCCTCTAAGCAGCAACCCAAAAGTCTCACAAGATTTTTGTGCTGTAATTTGGAAATTAAAGTAACTTCATTTTTTAACTCCATTATCCCTTGCCCAGAAGTTCTTGAAAGCCTCTTTACTGAAAATTCCTTACCATCCGCTAATTTTCCCTGGAAGTAATTGGTAACCTTTCTGTTATAACAATTAAGAAAAAGAAAAAAAAATTGGCTGTTATGATGAAAATGGATCCTGAAATATAACTCTGTTTTTCACTCTGAAAATGGATCCTCAAATTTATCTTTCATACATTTATTGAAAGGAGAATGAGAGAGAAACAAAAGGAAAATCATTGTTTTTGGTCAATACTAAATAGTTATACATATTTGTTAGAATCGAGTGACCAATCATTTGTGCAATCAAGATCACAATTCACAAAAATTGAAAATAACTATACCTTGTAGACAGGGCCGAAGCCACCTTCTCCGAGCTTATTTTCCTCAGAAAAATTTTGTGTGGCCTCAAGTATGATGCCTAATGGAAACAGGGGGAAGTCTTGAGATTCCAACTGCTCCCCTTGTAATAACGTATCATATGAATAATCACCTCCGACTCTGCCCCCTCCCAAGCGAAGTAATTGAACTTCGTTATCACTGGTTAAGTTTTCCTCTGCAGGGCACATTTAATTTAACTTGAAAATACAGGGGAGGAGTAATATATCTTTTGCGAAATTCTTCTGACACATGTGACAATTATCATATTATATGATCGAAACATATCTACTTTTATCATTTGTGATTAATTTCCCCATATATAATATATTACTATATATAACAATGTATTCAAAGTTTATGTAAAATAAAATTAAAAGGTTAATTCTTTCTTAGTTCGAAGTTATAAATCAATTACCTTTGTCTCTTTTGTTTCTTCTCCACTGAAAGAAAGAGCCAAGCAGCAGTACTACTATAATTGCTGATCCTGTCGCGCCAATTGCAATCCATAGTGTTTTTCTTCCTTCCAAATTAAAATATTTTTTATTTAATATTCAAATTTATTCAATCCATATTATGACATCATGCACGAGTATTTAAAGGTTTTAAATACGAGAACAACCCAAAAAATAAAATAAATCATGATCATGATAAAACTTACAATTGAAAGAGGTTTCCTTTTAATTGTCCTAATTAGAAATATGATAAATTGAGACCCCTTATATATAAAAATTATATCACCCACCATAAAATATGTATATATGTATCTTGACTGTTTTTTCAATTATGAAATAAAATAACGATTTAAAAGAAAACGTTGTGAATTTTATGTTTTTAGTTACATGTATAATTCAAAATTTATTTTCTTTTTGGATTAATTCAGTCTGCTAACAGTAAATGTGAGGTCTAAGAAATTTAAAAGAAAAATAGCATTAAAATCATTTAAGTAATTAGTTAAACTGATTGGACCTCAACCCTAAACTGTATTCTGACTTTACCTTTGGGAGGAGGTGAAGGTGGAAGTGGAGGTGGAGGTGGAGGTGGAGGTGGAGACGGAATTGCAGCTGGCGGCGGCTCTCCTTCATTATAGAACGGGTACAGTTCGTATCGTATGTTACAACTTGCAAACAACACTCTTGCTCCTATTTTTAAAGGAGTCGAAGGCAAAAATGAAATCGCTTCTTCAAGACATCTATTGCAATCAATTTTTGACAGGTCCCGTGTGCACTGCACAAGACCATACAGTGTTTGAAACCCGTCAAGAATAACCTTTCTGGTTGCAAACATTTTAGATTTGGTAGCGTTTATAGCCTCATGCGTTGCTTCGGTCAGCAAATTCGATACCTTCTGACCAAAGTCATCTGTGCCTGTAAAATTATTTATATTATACATGATCACAGAGTCTTCTACGCTCACGGTAGAAAAGAAGGTCTGGTTTGAATAACGGAAAAGGCACTCGTCATACCATATTAAGCTTTGTTCTACAGCAGGACAAAGATTAGTTATGTTTGCGGTTGCAACATTAATACAGCGTTGGCAGGTGTCCATATTGACATCGCCGCGGCAAAGAAAGAGGGCATACAACTTGTCAGGGTCATTGCCCGCGGTAGCGTTGTAAAAACCGTTGGAATATTTATCGTTGAGATAAGCATCTCTTGTAAGAGAAGCCAAGAAAAGATTGAGGGTTGTTTGAAAGGTGCTGTCTGTGTTGGAAGTTGTATTTGGGCAGATATGGTAAAGATATGTTGGATCATCAGCAGCCGTGACGAAACTCAGCAAGCTTGGAAGAGAGAGAAACACAAGTATGATATTCATGAGAGAATGGATTTTTGATTCTAAGCCTTTTGTTGCTCAATGGAATATATTTGAAAGATCTAAAGAATTCCACATTTTTAATACTAACTCACCAATTTCTAAATCATTGGAATACATTGCATCAATGGTCAGATTCCTGCTATAAATTTGTCTTTAAATTGAAATGACTTCGCACCTGTATATGATGTAGAAACAGATGACTGAGATGAGGACTATTCAACCTTTGTCTTAGAAGACGAGAGACTTACTGCACTAGTCAACGGAGCAGATTAAGTCCAGTCAAATTACGTGTTCCTGTGCCTTTAGAAAAATAAAAGAACATCTCGCCATCCAATTTAATCTGTTGAAATTTAAAACAAAGCAATAATATCACAAAACCTAACAATCAGTTGAAATAAAATTTCTAAAAGGGTATCTGCACCAGCGTTAGCCGCAACTCAACTAAATCTTTACCGGCTAGCTAACAATAGCGCACGAGCAAGCAGTAGAGAAACCAGTGTGTGATCAACTGCAGTCACTCCTCATGGACCACCGATTCCAGCTTAAGGCTTTAAAACTGTAAGAGGAGGTTTTTAATAATTGGAAAACAAGGTTTTTGTAGTGCTCGAGCGTCAAAAAATTTATTGTGAAATTTCGTTCATTGGTTTATTTTATTTTATTTTATCTGAAAACTGAATAAAACTGAATTTCTTTAAAATTTGAATGCTAGCATTGTGTTTTATATTTTATGGTTTGATTACAAGTCTTAAGCTATTTTTTTTTAAATAAAAAGATTTGAAAAGTGAAAATTAACATTTTGACATATATGCCCATTTGATGCTAAATATATCATTACGTAAATAAATTTTATATAATATTAATTAAACCATGTTTTAAGTTTATAAGCTTATAAATTAATATAAATATCTAGTTGAATTAAATTGTTTGATAAAAAACTTTAACATAACTAATTAAAAAAAAAAATGGCATATGATAAAAACTGTTAAAAAAGTTATATATATATATATTAACTAAGGACAATATTATCAAAACAATTAACACAAAATATTGACCAGAAAACTGATGGTAGGGATATGTCTTATTGTGTAATATGTGGAAAGCCTAGACAAAACGTCAATTTCATATGCCTCAGAGTCAGCGGTACTAAATGGGTTTAGCCTTGTAAAGTTTATTTCATAGTTAATTTTTTTACGCATAATCATTTTAAAATTAATTTATTAAATATTTTTTGGCTGGTAATTTAATAAATATGCAATTATATAGCACCCTGAACTGGTCCTTAAAAGTAAAGTACTAAATTACTATTTTGACAATTGTAAGATATGTTTTAAGAACATCGCAAATATGGTAAAGATATGTTGGAGCTGCTCCTAGGAAACTCGGCAAGCTCAGAAGAGAGAGGAACACAAGTATCATATTCATTAGAAATAGATTTTTTTATTCTAAGTCTTTTGTTGCTCAACGGAATATATTGTTATTATTAACATAATATTACAATCATATTTAACATAAAGATAGATAAGAATTAAAAAATAAAAAATAATCCAATAGATTTGAGAGAGATTTTGGCTTCGTTTGGTTCACATTTTTGCATTTTTGAGAAATTTTTTTGGAAAAAAGTTAAAAAAAGTTGAATTGGACGGGTATTACAATGTAGGATTTACAAATTAATAAAATACTCTTTATGTTTGTTTATTTACAAAACACCCTTATAATAAAACATTAAAAATTAACAAAAATACCCTCAACCCCCCTTAAATACGGACAATCGGCCACCACTGCCGGAGGGTGGCCGGAGTGTCTTTGCAATTTCTAAAAAAAATATTTAGGGGTGTTTAATTAAATAAATAAATTTAGGAGGTTTAAAAGAAATTGAAAAATATAGAATAATATTTTGGGAATAATGATATTTTACTATTTAACTTTTTTGAGAATACTAATAATAGTATTCTTAAAACCGAAACAGACGAAGCCTTTGGTACGAGATATTATTAATACTAATTCACCAATTTTTAAGTCATCGGACTATGTTGCATCAATGGTCAGAGATTTTTTTTGTATTAGAAGATGAGACTCTATCATTGTGCTAGTCAACGGAGCAAATTCCAATCAAATTTGGTGTTCTTGTACCTTGTGGAAAAAGGGCAAGAACATCTCATCAATTAATTTAATTTGTTGAAAGTTAAAACAAAGCAAATAAAATTTATTACTAGGTTGATTAATTTTAATCGAATTTAATTATTCCAAAGCAGTAAGCAGATGCAGTTTCTACATAAAAGGGAAAAATAAATTTACTTAAGAAGAAATTATTTCAGTCCTAGTTCCTATCCGGATACTCAGATCCCGATTTCGATTCTTAGTCCAGCATTGCAAGAATTGACACCAGACCCTAGAATTCTCGATTCCAATTTTCCAGAATTGGAATCGGACTAGTTCCGATTATACCTTTTACCCATGCTCACCTGTAGAAAAGCCTAGACAAAACGTCAATTTCATATGCCTTGGCGGTACTAAATGGGTTTCACCTTATAAATTTTATTTCATGGGTAATTTTTTACGCATAATCAGTTTTAAATTAATTTATTAAATATTTTTTAGTTGGTAACTTAACAAGTATGCAACTAGATAGCAATGTTCTGAAAATCGGATGGGCCTTGACCCGGTTCATAGTTTGACTAGTTCAACCGGTTGGACCAGTGACGTAGTAATTAAAATTTTTAAAAAATTAAATTAGTCCCTTAAATTTTAGTATATTGCAAAATGCCCCTAAAAATTTAAAATTAGTCCCTAAAAATTTAATATATTTCAAAAAGTGCCAATAACTTATTAGTCCCTAAGGTTTTGAAATACTGTGAAAAAACCCCTAAAAATTTTTATTAGCCTCTACAAGTTTCAAATATAACAAAAACCCCCTAGAACCTGAATCGGACTGGAGAGGTTGCTGGTTCCTAGTTAGATCGCCGGTCCGATCCGATTTTCAGAACACTGCTATATAGCACCCTGAACTGGTCCTTAAAAGTAAAGTACTAAATTACTATTTTGACAATTGTAAGTGCTTAGTGAAATTCTACAAGAAATAATTACTTAAAAAACATTGCAGCATTAATTAAACCCCCAATGATGTACATATAAAAACCAATTAGGGGTGTTTGGTGGGGGGTTATGTGTGATTACTGGGGTTAAGTCATCTTATATTACTTGATTACCATGTTTCGTTGTCAAGTAATATAAGATACCGGTAATCTTCAAATACCAATAATGGTTACTATTGGTAATATTGAAGGTATTCTAAGATTACCAGGGTTATCTTTTTTTGTTACAATTTTGTCCCTTATTCATAAAATTTTAGGACAATAATGCCCTTATTTTTAAATTTATTTAAATGAATATGTCTTTTACTATTTCACCCCAATTAATTAACTTTTGAGACAAAATTACCTTTGAATTCGAAACAAATTGCAGCCGACCCAAGCCACCAGCCCCACCCACCTGCTGTCGCCAACCACCACCGTGGCCAGTCGCCCCTGCCGCCGTAACGACACACGGAAGGCCGAAAATGGTAGGCGTGCACTGATATGGCCATTTTCGGCCAGATATCTAGTCGGAAATGGCCATATCTTTTGATTGTTAACGCCACGTCTGTGGCCATCAACGACCATCGATCTAGCCGTTGACAGCCAGATCTGTCACATCTGGCCATTTTTGCCTAGATCTCCAGCTGAAAATGGCCATGCGGCGCACGGAGGCCATTTCCTGCCTTCCGTGCGTTGTTAGGTTGCCAACTACCGGTGGCTTGCAGTGGTTGTAGCGACTGGCAGTGGCCGGGTTGGTGGGGGTGCTTTGTTGATTTTTCAAACTTTTATTATGGGGTTGTTTTTGCAAGTTTTTAAATGCAGGGGGGTTAGATAACCCAAATAATAATCAACATTAAAAAATAATATAATAATAATATTTAATTAGAGGATAATTCAATAATTTAAATAACATACCCACCAATTTATTCCTCCAAACCAAATATATTAATATAACATACCCACCAATTAACTAAACTTATTTTCTTAAAGATTGCCAATAATCTTTAATCTAACTTTATAGTAACCTAACATTTCCTGAATCAAACGGTTCTTAAAGTCATATCTTTCATTGGCAGCGTACATAAAATAAACAATGAAGGCTAACAGAGTCGGCCAAGGGATGAAATGAAAACATGTACAGCATTCTTGGTTATTCAATTGGAACACGGAATAGATGGCTGCTAACAAGGCTTTGTCAGCCGATAATTATTGACAATCTATCAGAAAATTCAATGAACTAGCATTGTCAAGAGGTAAGCCACTGTTAGTCTACTTTTTATGACTTATAACTTTAAACCATAAACTATAATTTATCTTATTGAGTAATTAATTCAAAAATGGTCATATGAATTAGATAAATAATCATAACAAGTAAGATACACTTTTCAACTCGTGTAAAATGGTACATTTCATGTAATATTATTTCATATGAAAATTTTAAATAACTTTGAATTGTGAACTTAAAATGAACCACAATATTATTTGTTTGATTATCTTGTAAATTCTTTTTATTGAGAAAACAAACGGTACAACTCATCCATGAGGAAATTCAATGAAATAAAATGATAATAAAAGTCAATAATACTATTTTTTTTTTCCATTTTATCCCAAATTTTATATCCCAAATGATGTGTTTTATGTGATTAACATGTAAATAAAGTGATATGTATTAAATGATATGACAATACCAATAAAATGACACATAATTTCTGATACAAATTTTGGGATAAATATTTCAATAAAATTATATGCACATCACACTTATGTATGCATTAATCTTCTATGATACTAAACTCCAAAATGAAAACGCAAAGAAACTTCTAATGACTTGGATAGATGGGTTCACCCTATAAATTTGTAGTTATATCAACTAATCAAATTATTATGATCAGATATTTTACACCCTTTGTAACATGGCTTGAAATAAATAATTTAGAGATCGAAAAGTTATTATCTATTGTCCACTCAAATTAATCTTATGACCCTTATAGATATTAATTGTTTTGATACCAAGAAATCAAAGAAATTCTTGCTTTCCAATTGGCCTATATGACCTAAAAT